TATACCTACTCCTATCTCTTTGTTGTCTTTTGTTTTAGAGGCGTCTGAGTAGATTACTATAGAAGTAGTGTTTTCTAATAGGTAGTCTCTNTGTGCGGCTGCCTCGTCTTCTTTAGACTTTTTTGAGAGTTTTACGTCGTAGTGTAAACTATTCCATGGCTTAAATTTATACTGAGCATGTAGGAAGGCAGAAACAACGTCAAACGCCATCTCGAAGAGATATACATGGGGCTTGATGAAAAAAGAGATATCCGGTCGGGCCTGATTCGGGGTCGCTTTCTAGGCTGGAACACCCGTCGGGTGTACAGAATTAGACACAGATATGGTGTCATGACTGCCTTTGATGTTCCCACAAGCAACAAGCCATCAAGTAAATGTATGGTTACGGCAAACTGGACGATTAGAGTGCTCAACAAACCCCTCGCTCCGATCATGCGAGGTCTGTGTCATGCACTATAAATGGCTATACTCAGAAATCATACCACTTCAAGGCTCCTTGAACGACAACGCGTCACTTTGCTTTCTTGTCTAAACCCCGAGGTCTTGTCTGAACGTCTATGATTTTGAGTAGGTCACTAACATAGGTATATACGTAGCGAAATGGAAAAGGATCACACAATAGACTCCAGGTATGATATTGTTCACCTGTACTAGCATTAACGCTCGTAATGAGGTAATATAGTTCTACATACTACAATAACATCTGCGGAAGGTGATTGTCAACGATAAGCTTCTATAGTAGAAACCCGTAGCTTTAAAGCTATGCTGGATTCTCCATACATTGCATATTTTCTTGATATTGATGGGAGCTGTTCAACATCAAGTACGCGACTATTGTAAATTGTGTCTCTACTTCGTTCAAGATTTTCACAACGGGATTGGAATTTATTAGTATAAGTAAAACTCTGTTCCTCACTAATCGAGTGTGATACAAAATGACTAACTGCTACTTGGAATTTGAGGAGTAAATGCGCTCCTCTTACGAATTGTAGGACCACATAGAAAGAACCAGACAGGAACAGGAATAAGCAAAGCGGCGACACAGCCAAGCAGAGTGGAAGCCCATTGAACACCTAAGTCCCTGAATAAGTAAGGCGCAAATAGAGGGAAAGCAGCAGCAAATAGCGACCGTAAAATAGTACTAGCTGCCATAGCGGATGCAGCATACTATACAAACGATGTTAGTTATATAACAAGTTGAAAGAGTTAGATAGAGGACTTACCATGAGATATACGTCCACGAGGTAGTTGAGAGATTGTAGAAATATTGATAATATGCCAAAACCAGAAAAAACCCCAGATATAGATGGCGCGATCCAATGAATACTGCGCTTGTATCCAGTCCAGCCAAAGACGAATAAGCCACAGGCAAAGATGATGCCGCCGGCGATAGTTTCCGGTAGTCTCCACTCCGGCACAGGAATGCCATGATTAGCAATAAGCTTTTTCAGGTATCTTGGCTGATTGAGCAGAATAAGAGTTCCCGCAAGGACTTCTCCAAAGATAATACCGAGGAATGGAATACCTCCAACTCCAGGATTCATCCCATGAATCTGCTGGAAAACGATAGGGTAGGCCGTGAGAAATAGATAAAGAAGGCCATATATGAATGCCATGTAGAGTGACACCAGGAATACGATAGGCTCTGTAAATAGCATACGAAGAGGACGGGTAAAGTTTTTCTCAAGAAGTTCCTGGGGGGCAGTGTCCAGTTCTTCCTGCTTTGCGTGTAAACTCCAGTTCTTTGTAAGTTGCCTAAGACTCTTAGCTTTATGCACAAGAATGCTAGGCGCATACGTCTCCTGAAAAGTAACAAGAAGTAATAGAAATGAAACCAGGCCCATGATTGCGACAAGGTAGCTCGTCCAGGCCCAGCCGAGACTGGACATAACGATAAATCCACCGATTGACGGTGCAAACATGGGTCCGGAGAAGACGGCGATCGAAAACACGGTGACTGCAGCTCCACGGGTACGGTGGTCAAACATGTCTGTCATGACGGCACCGCCTACAGCAAGAGGGCATGCACCAAAAAATCCTGCCCAGAACCGACATATTAACACCATGGGTAAATTCTTGACGACACCAACACCGAGGTTAAAGACAGAAAACGCCAACGAGGCTGCAAGAAGGGGCTGTTGGCGGCCAGAGATCTCGGACCATGGTGCCCAAAGTATGGGTCCTGTAGCGAAGCCAAGAACGTAAAGGGAGACGCCAAGCGTGCTGACAGTTGTAGAAACTTCGAATTGTTTTGCGACTGGAATAATGGCTGGTGAAAATATGCTGCTTCCAAAGGCAGCTGTCAAAGTAAAAAAACTAACAGCGACTCCGATGAGTAGTCTACTCAGATGAGACAAGATTAGCTTGTGCAAGAGTGGATATACTAGGGAGCACTAACTTTCTCTTGAATGGCCAGTTATGTGGGTGTAAACCATCTTTTGGTCCGTCAAAATCGATTAGATGCTCTTCGTCGTCTTGCGATAGATGTGGTTGTTGGCCGACATCTTTCTCAGTAAGTTCCGTCTATTCATATAACATGTCAGAGGTCGTTTACTTAGTATGCTTTACAGATGGTTACTACACACTTACCATTTCACCTAGAATTCGTTCTGAGAGCTTTGAGGGAGAGGTAGGTTGCATAGGACGGAAGTTTAGTTGCTGCAGTAGGTTGTAATTCAAGGGGGGTTTGAGTGTAGATATGTATCGTTTGTCTGTCTATTTATTTCTTAGGGAATGGAATAACGAGCTCTACAAAGAGTTTGAGGCGGTTCTCTACACGAAAAAAAGGATGTACGTTACAGCGAAGCAGAGAGATAAAAGCTTAGTTAACACGATATGAGCTTGAAGCGCTATGAGATTGGAGGCAATTGAACCTAGCACTCATTCATTATTCGGTCCGCGTACAGCCATGGGTTAGACATAAGTGGAGTGGAGCATAAAATCTGTCATATTGTACTAGGTCTTCAGGAGTTGTTGAGTGTACTACTGAATCAGCGATCACATTCACTGACTCCTCCCCCATGCAAATTCGGTAGTGAATCACTTTCACCATGTACACAATATAAGCCGGAATATTTTTCTAGTCGGCCCGGTTTCGGAAGGATTGGAATAACACTAATTCATGATCCGAGGCTGTTACTAGAATCTTAGGTCAATTGATATAGTATGAGAAAACTGTCCTCAGCTTGCTTGTGTATAGCTGTGATCTTGTACCCGCCCTACAATTGAAACCGTTGTTTTCGTTCGTACGACCTACTAGGCTCAAGTATCGTAGCTAAAGATGCGTATCGGACCATATGAATTTTGCATGTGTAAGTACATATCGAACCATATATGCACGTGGTAGAAGTGCGCACCCATGCACACGAGTATATACCCTGCCCGGAAGCACGTACCCTACCCGTATGCACGTACCTCCCTCTGTCTGGGAACACGTACCTCCGTGTGGAAGTGCCGAAAGTTTATGTACAACGGGGAAACGGATAACCAATAAATGTATTTAAAGTTAGGGCTGTTGATGCATGGTGGTGTGAACTACCGCTAATTTTAGGAGCTATGTAGAATGATTAATAGTTTTCCGTAAAGACACCTTCTACTACATTTCTTACCCCTGTGAGGGTGTCCATATGTGTCCCGGAAGATCTTCGGAGGCATCCACGTAATGCCTATTTACTGATAAGAAAAGCCGAAGAATAGCCATGTTGTGGTTAGCCCTAGATATCTCCACAACCGAAGAAGCCCCATAGCCTTATCGGAATTTCGTCGTCTAGGCCTTCGCGGTCATACATCCTAAGCCCGATGCAGATGACTTATTGTTCCAAGTGGCATGCTATCGCACACTAATTCCTTATCAAATACTGATTTTCGATCGAGTAGATAAACAATGTAACCTGTAGTTTGATTAATGGGGCCAGCAAGGAGGCAGAACCGGATGGACTTTGGATGTCCTAAAACTCCTTATTCTGTAAAATTACAAGACAGAAACAGCTCTTGTTAGATGAGCAGAGAGGCTGTGCACAGTATTAAGACTCCATGCATCTAGATATGACATAGCTCTGATTATGTCAGCCGACCACATTAACAAAACTACAGGGTATATCATGTATACATACGTAGGACGGACCCTGATTTCGTGTATGTAGCTATCGGCCAGACTGTTTACCTAGGTCAATTAACAGGCCCGAATTCAGGTTCGGCATTGCACTCCTTATTCATTAATTCCCTACTTCGCACAAGTGTCATACGACGGCGGAGTGGAACACCCAACGAGCGATGTGGGAATGCCCATCACCCAAGATGCTTGCCATGCGGATATCGGAAACATTCTCTTCCAGACATACCCAATCCTGGAGACGATCTTGGGGATGTTCCTAGTTACTTGCTTCAATTCTTTAGGTAGTTTCGGTCGAATGAATTGAATCGAGTAGTAGGTTAGTAGTGTTGGAGATAGAGCTTGATGATTGTGTATATAAACTAGAATACCCATCACAGCTGAATTGTAAAAGTACAATAAGTTCATCAATTGTACTGGTTGCTTTAATTATCTACACCGTGTCCACAATATTGTATCAATTTTGACTTTTCTTCAACCCTCATCTCAATACGATGTTGGATACCAACAACACTCATTGTTCAAACAATGATGTCAACACGAAGCCATGGCATCGAGATTCAGAACCAATCGCTGTAGTGGGCATGGGTGAGATGAAGACTTTAATGTGTAGTGATGCTGGCTAACATATTCAATCAAAGGTTGCCGCTGGCCCGGCGGTGTGAATGACACGTCGGGACTTTGGGATCTACTCATCCAAAAAAGGACCGGGTTTAAGAAGTTTGGTGACCATCGTTTCGAACTTGACGGATTCTACCATCCAAATGCTGATCGTCCTGGGAGCATTGCCAATGAAGGAGGGCATTTGCTCGCGGAAGACCCAAGGTTATTTGACCATACATTTTTTGGCATGACCCCGTTAGAAGTCGAAACAATGGATCCGTCCCAACGCAAGCTCCTTGAGGTGGTTTTCGAGGCCTTTGAGAACGCTGGTGAAACATGGGACAGTTTCTGGGGATCCCGTACAGGTGTCTATGTGGGCAATTTCACAAACGACCACAGTATCATCCAGTTCCGTGACCCGGATCATCCACGACCATATGCTAGTACGGGCACCAGCACTAGCATCTTGAGCAATCGTGTCAACTATATCTTGAATCTGCAAGGCCCAAGGTAAGAATACTGCTCACAGCCACATATCCTGATCAAATCTAACTAGTACAGTGTAACGATTGACACAGCGTGCTCTTCCTCAATGTATGCACTTCACCTCGCTGTCAATGCCTTGAGAAATGGAGACTGCGACGCTGCGATTGTAGCGGGTTCAAACCTGATCATGGATCCAGCTATGCAACAGATGATGACGAAGCTAGGTGTTCTCTCTCGAACGTCCACATGTCACACTTTTGATGAATCAGTTGATGGATATGCCCGTGGTGAGGGATTTGCGGCGATTTACCTTAAAAAGGTATCTTCGGCGATTACAGACGATTACCCCATACGAGCCTTGATCAGAGGGACTGCCATCAATGCCAACGGACGCACTGGTGGAATTACGCATCCGAGTCAGCAGGGACAGGAAGCGGTGATCAAGAAAGCTTACGAAAACGCCGGCAATCTAAATCTTGACGATACCACCTATTTTGAATGTCACGGTACCGGTACCCCAGTCGGTGACCCTGTTGAAATCGCCGCTATCAGCAATGTCTTCTCTCACCATCGAACGGAAGACTCGCCTCTACTTGCTGGATCTATCAAAACAAACCTCGGACACACAGAGTCCAGCAGTGCGTTGGCAGGTATCATGAAAGTGATATTAGCACTCGAGTCAAATTTGATCCCCCCAAGTGTCGGTATCAATAAACTCAACCCAAAGATAGACTTTCAGGCGGCGAAGATCAAGATTTTGACTGAACCTACGCCCTGGCCGAAAGATCAACTTCGCCGTGCTAGCGTCAATTCTTTTGGGTATGGCGGCGCTAACGGTCATTGCATCATCGACCATGTTCACTGCGTTCTGCCAAATTATCAACGTCGTCCGGATACCCCACTGAGATATCTCAATGGAACTGTTCTCGAGCACTCGAACGGGACGAGCACAAAGTCATCTTGGCCAGTGCATTACCCGCTGGAACGACAGCCAGTACTGCAGAAGCTTGAAAGTGGAGGCACTCCTCCCTCCGCTGTGCTTCTTCCATTCTCTGCGCACAACGAGACGTCTCTACAACTCAACATAGACAAACTGAAGCAAACGATTGAAGGAAAAGACCTAGCTGATATTGCTTATACGCTAGCCGTCAGGAGAAGCAAATTCAGTCAGCGAACTTTTAGGATCGTGGACAGTTCCAATCCGACCGTCGGTCTCGAAATAAACGAGAATACATGGACTAGTAATCCGCAACCCCCAAAGGTCGGCTTTGTCTTCACTGGACAGGGTGCGCAGTGGCACAGTATGGGCGCTGAGCTGTTTAGGTACAATGTCTTCGGGAACGCGATCTGTTTCCTAGATCGCGTCTTGAGAGAATTGCCAGACCCACCTAATTGGTGCATCGAGGACATACTGAGAGGTCATTCCACAGAAAGCATTGATATGCCAGAAATATCTCAGACTGTTTGCTCCGCGCTGCAAATTGGCATAGTAGACCTCCTATCATCTTGGTCACTTAAACCTTCCGTAGTGGCAGGACACTCGTCTGGAGAAATAGCTGCATGCTATGCGGCTGGACGAATCGATGCTGCTGAGGCTATCATTTCAGCATATATGCGGGGTCAAGCCGTGTCAAGGAACCAAGCTGATGGATTAATGTTGGCAGTTGGTTTAGGGTGCGAGGACGTTGAGAAGTACCTGACACAGTGTGGTGACAGAGTGCAGATCGCAGCAATCAACTCTCCTGGAAGTGTCACTTTATCTGGATCAGCCGCAGCGATCAAGGAAATCGCTGATACGATGACCGCCGATCAAGTTTTCAACCGGGTTCTCAAAACAGGTGGAAACGCCTATCACTCCTACCACATGAAACCTTTAGGAGAATGGTATGAAAGCTCGCTTGTTTCGGCTCTGGAAAATACCAAAATTGCTTCAGTCATCGCACTAGGACACAAATACGCAAGTGTGCCATGGATTTCGTCCGTTCGGCCAGGAAAAGAAACGACGAAGCTCACTGTCGACGCGTCTTATTGGCGTAGCAATCTCGAGTCGCCTGTCGACTTCGCTGGTGCAATCACGAAGATGACGACCGCCGGTACTGGTTGTCCCGACATCTTGGTCGAGATCGGTCCACATCCAGCTTTGAAAGGTCCTGTTGCACAGATTCTCAAAAGCTCTGGGACCAACGCCCCTTATCTTGCTTCGTTGAAGCGGGGTCAGGATGGTCAGACATGTTTGCTACAACTTGCCGGCTCGTTGTATTCTGCTAATGTTGACATCAACCTCGTGGCTATCAACTCAACCCAAAAGATTGAAGGCAAAGACCTTATCCTATACCATGGGCATACAGCCGTTGATCTGCCACCATACCAATATTCATATGGACCTATCGTTTATCATGAGAGTCGTTTCAGTCACGAGTTCCGTCACAGGAATTCCGCTAGTCATGACTTGCTCGGTGCTAAGCTTTCAGGAAATACAAGGCTGCGTCCGCAATGGAGGAACATACTTCGACTAAAAGATGTCCCCTGGTTGGCTGACCATAAGCTGCTGCCCGATGTTGTCTTTCCGGCGGCGGGATATATTGCTATGGCGGTCGAAGCTTCGTGGCGTACTTACAAAGAGTTGCCTAATTCCTTGCCTCTTGTCACCACATCACTACGGAACATCAAAATTTCAGCAGCCCTACGCATTCCCGACGACGATAAAGGAGTTGAGATCATATTCACACTTGACGTTCCGGATGGTATATCAGCAAAGAGCCCATCCTGGATGAATTTCACCGTTACTTCTGTCTCTTCAGACTTTTCAACGTGGACTGAGCATTGCACCGGGTCAGTCCGGGTTCATGTCGAAGATGTGCCTCCACCACAAGCAATGTCAACAACTATGGATGCTCGCGTTGTGAGCACACCTGAATGGTACCGCAAGTTTGCAGATATCGGTCTTGGATACGGACCGGCATTCCAAGGTTTATCAAACATCCACGCCGATCCGGATATACACCTGGCTACAGCAACAGTCGCTCTTGATACGACGAAAGATATGCTTTCAGAACAGTCATACTATCCATTGCATCCTGCTTCTCTCGATGCTCTTTTCCAGCTTGCCTTGATTGGAAGCCACGGTGGTCAGATGGAAGAAGCTTACACTGCATATGTTCCTGTGCACATTGACCATTTGTACCTTAGACACGGCTTCACACAAGATACTGGTGTTGGTATAGCCTCAGGTGAACGGCTAGGACTCCGTGGGGCACACGCTAGGGTCCAGATGATCGATCAAGCCGGCGAAGTTGTACTTGATATCCCACGACTGCGTTGCATATCTTACTCGGAATCTGTTCGAGAAAATCCTGCATCTGCTAAACCTTTCTCTGCTCCCTTGACTAGAATGGTCTGGAGGCCCGACGTCCGTCATTTATCTAATCAACAGGCTGCTATCTTGATGCCCCCTCCGACCGAGAACTTGGACAAGATACATCTGTTCGACATACTCGAATGGATGGGCACTTTGGTGGTAGCAGAAATTCAAGACATGATTGCTGACGACTGCCGACTGAATGACTCTCCAGAACATATCCAGAACTTTATTTCTTGGATCCATCGACGCGCCGCAGACGACAATCAGTGGACCAGAAAGGCAAAGCAACTTACGTCTTCCGACCGAATGAACATACTTCATACACTTCTCAAGCAGGTTCCAGACTGCTCTGATGTCAAGATTGCATGGCATGTTTTCCAGAACATAGACGACATCCTGCATGAGCGGAAAACTGGACTCGATGTAGTTCTCGAGAATGGTCTGCTGTCTGCTATGTATGAAGATGGTTTCATCATGACCGGAGCTTATCCCCAATTGACTCGCCTTTTTGACCTGTTAGGGCATTCAAATCCTAGCATGAAGATTCTCGAAGTTGGCGCGGGAACTGGCGGCGCAACCCGTGTCATTATGCGTACTTTAAGAGGCGCTAACCAGATCAAACGGTACAAGGATTATACATTCACGGATGTGTCTAGTGTGTTTCTTGCTGCGAGCCGCGATCAGTTCTTTGACCACAGTGACATGGAGTTCGGCGTCCTGGACATTGAACAGGATCCTTTATCGCAGGGGTATAATGCCGTGTACGATTTGGTTGTGGCGTCCGAGTGTCTGCACGCAACTTCTGATATGGCCAACACTTTGAGGAACTGCCGCAAGTTGCTAAAGACTGGCGGCAAGTTAATTGTTGTCGAGAACCTCCGCACCGTTATTGGCCATGGCCTTGTGCTTGGGACTCTCCCTGGCTACTGGAGTGGTGTAAAAGATGGTCGAACAGAAAGTCCATTTATGGATGAAGCTCGCTGGAAAGAAGAGCTGGTCAAAGCAGGCTTTTCTGGGATTGACATCCTGCTCAATGATTATCCGGTTCCTTACGCTACTGCATGTACTATCATGTCTACCGCAGTCGAGGAGGAATTTGTCATCGCCCCAAAGACACAAGTAGGGTCCCACATTTCGAAGAGTCTTCTTCTGGTACATGGTGTTGCGGGAGAGATGCTTCAACGAGTGACATCCGAGCTCACGTCACGCGGAATTCCTTTCACAACCACAACACTGGACGAGACTTCTCCCCTTCCTGTTGATTTACGTACCATAGTTCTGTTCGACGAGACTAACAGCCTTGAAGACCCAACCCATCAACATTGGACGCGTTTCCAGTCACTGGTTCAATCCTCCAATACCATGGTCTGTCTTACGACCTCCGGGTTGCTAGATGGAAAACATCCAAACGGTGCAATCATCACGGGAGTGTTACGTATCATCGGAACTGAGAACCCGGCTTCTAGGTTCTTGTCTATTGACGTAGATCCTGACGCACTAAATCAATCAAACACGCACGTGGAGAAGTCGATTGTCGACCTTGAGTCTACACTTCATATCGAACCTACCGAAGCATTTGAGGATCGAGAGTTCACTTATCGAGACGGTATGCTATGGGTAAGCAGGGTTGTTCCAGATATCAATCTTCAAGCCCAAGCGGAGCTAGCTCAGATGCTACCAAGCTCTACTCAGCTGCTACCGTTCGACAGCCAAGGCCCAGTCCGTGCTGCTTTTGAAACACCTGGAATTCTATCGTCGTTGTATTTCAAGCCATACACGGAGATGTGGACAGCCTTGCCAGACGACTTTGTGCAAGTCAAGGTTGCGGCTGTTGGTCTCAACTGGAAAGACCTCGCGATTTCTGCAGGAAAATTCGACATGAACAACTTCTCTTCCGAATTCTCTGGCGTAGTTGAACAGGTTGGGCCCGAAGCAGCTGGAAGATTTTCTGTCGGTGATCGGGTATACGGCATGGGCAAAGGTCATTTCGGCAATTATCTCCGAACGCCCGCTGCATACATCCAGCACATGCGTAGTGGCGATGACTTCGTCAAAGTTGCCTCTATGCCGCTCGTCTACATGACAGCAATATACGCCTTCATGTTTGCTACTCAGATCAAGCCTGGAGAAAAGGTGTTGATTCAGACCGCCACCGGTGGTCTCGGTCTTGCCGCTCTCCACTTAGCAAGGTCAATGGGAGCCGAAGTTTTCGCAACCGCCGGTAGCCCTTCCAAGGTTCGCTATCTTGTAGAGCAAATGGCTATCCCCAAAGATAGAATTTTCTCCTCACGACATGCTGGAGACGTTGCTAAAATCAGACAAGCGACTGATGGTCATGGCTTTGATGTCATTCTAGGTACAGCGACTGGAGACTTGCTCTATGAGTCGGTTAAGTTGCTAGCGCCATTGGGACGATACATTGACGTAGGTCGCGTGGATGTGCAGAATTCTGGATCTATTGGTCTTGAACTCTTCCAGAAAAGTGCCACATTTTCATCATTCGACCTTGGTCTTGTCATGGCAACTTCCACGCCTATCGCTAGTGAATTGATGCGAAATGTGGACAAGCTCTACCGTGAAGGCAAAATCGGCCCAATCCCATCCATTATGGAATCCGACGTATCGCAGCTGGACCAAACCCTTCTTTCCATGTCAAAGGGATCACACATTGGGAAATTTGTTGTCACTTTTACCAACCCTGAATCTCTGGTGCGGATGGTTCCAGCTGCTCCACATGCAGAATTCTTACCGGAAGCTGAATACATAGTCACCGGCGGACTCGGTGGTCTGGCCCGAAGTATCGTGGCATGGATGGCTGCGCGAGGAGCTCGACATTTCACCTTGTTGTCTCGAAGCGGAGCATCTAGCCCAGAGGCCAAGGTCTTCATTCACAATATGGCTGACAAAGGTATCAGAATTGAACTGATTGCCTGCGATGTCAGTAAACTCGACCAAGTCTCTGAGGCTTTCAAAAAGGCCTCCTTTACGAGGACAGTGAAAGGAGTTGTTCATGCTGCTGTTACCTACGTGGATCTCTCTTTTGATAAATTCACTATTGAAGAATGGCAAGCTGGCTTATCAGCTAAAGTAGCGGGAACAAAAGTATTGCACAAAGTGACGAAAGATCTTCCACTTGACTTCTTCGTCATGACAACCTCCATCACATCAGTTGTGGCAATCGCTACCCAGCCAGCTTACATAGCGGCAAACAACTTTCAAGATGCGTTTGCCCGCTACCGTCGTTCCAAAGGCCTCCCAGCGTCAACAGCTTCTTTCGGTCTTATTACGAACGTTGGCCACCTCAGTACCAATCAGACGACTCTCGCAGGTATGGCCCGCAATAAAGTACTTGGTGTCACCGAGTACAACTTTTTGCGCCTGTTTGAACTGGCGTTTCTGAACAACGATATCTGCGAAAAAGAACCGTCGGGCCGCCTTGGTGTGGTAAGCGATTCGATAACTACTATTCCCATTCTGACCTGCCTTGATCCTGCAGAAATGGCAAGAAAGAGCCAGCAAGCTGGTCCAGAAGCTGCAGGCGTGGAGCCACGATGGTACACTGATGGACGAGTTTCACTGATCATGAGGGCCTTTGAGGATGCAAAGCGGTATCAAAGCCGTACCAGCGAAGGACGAGATGCCTCAGCTGATGGTGACGCAGCCCTAACGCAGCTTCAGAAACAATTTAACGAAGCTATCAAAGCGGGACCATCTGAGCAACAAGAAGTAGAGTCACTTGTTGCAAGTGCGATCGTGGCTACTGTGTCCACTATGTTGTTCATTGATGCGTCTTCAGTTGATCCAGATCGTACTGTAGCTGATTATGGGGTGGATAGTCTTATCGCTGCCGAACTACGCAATTGGCTTAAGAAGGCATTCCGTGTCAATGTCAGCATGCTCCAGCTCCTAGACACAAGCATCTCAATGAAGAAGCTTGCCAATATCGTTGTCTCTAGTTCTTTACTATCTACGCAGCCTTCTGCAGACAGTAGGACGTTAGAGAAGTAACGCAGCTGGTTTGTTCTTTGGTTTCCTTGTTCCAAATGTCAAGAAGTTTGTAACAAGTCAACATCTCGAGCAAAAATGATGCAAACTATCTTTTGTCAACACAACAAGTAATCTACGAGAAGGCGGGAATGCACCAAGAAAAGGAATCACGTGACGAGTCCTACAGATCCTACCCAGCCTTGGCGTACTTCATGCACTAGGACTCACTAGGACCACGTGACCAGTCCTACCGATCCCCGTAGTCCTACGATCCCTCGTTATTACTAGGACTACTAGGACACTAGGACTACGCGAGTATATAGCATTAGGCATTGAGCTCTTATGGCTTAGTGTGTTCAACTTAAAGTTTTGAGTACAAGTACAATACAGAGAGTTGTTCTACTTGCCTACGTTACTGTCCTACATTTGCACCCTGCCGCTCTATCTGCAAAAATCAACCAACAAGAAGCTTGACACCAGAAGTCTTATATTACTTCCACTCGAGCTATACTCTTAACAATCGGATCCGACCAGGAACGAACAGCTGATGCAAGGGCGGCCGATACTTCCTCCGATCCAGCTGTGGGATTGGTCCGATACTTGGTGAGGTTGTAACATCGTTACAAACACTACTATTTATAACGTATTCTATCACCGAGCCAGCCACATCACTAAGCCAGCCGCTTTTTCTTACCATTGCGAGCTTCATATATAAAAACTTAAATTACTCTATACTGGCTATATTATTATTATTATTATTATTATTATTGTTTTACGTCCTGTGTCAGCCCGACGGCTATATAAGACGTGCAAGCTGA